AATCTTGCAGGATACACTCTTTGTGACTGTTATCTTTTTCTAAGCATAATTTTCTTTTGAGATTCATCTATGTTATTGCTTGTACCAGAGGTTTGTTTCTTTTTTATTGCTTAGTAACTTTCAACTATATGAATATGCCACAATTTGTTTATCCATTCACTTGTTGATGGACATTTTAATTTTGTACACTTTGTGGCTATCACAAATAAAATTGCTATAAACATTCTTGTACAAGTATTTTTGAGAAAATATGTTTTGAATTCTGTTGGGAAAATTCTTAAGAGTGGAATTTCTTGGACATATGGTAAGTGTAAGTTTAACTTTAACTTTTCAAGAAACTGCCAAAAAGTCTTTCCAAGTGGTTGAACTTCTCACCAGCAATGAATGAGAGTTCCACTAGTTCCACATCCTCCAAAGTACTTGAGATTGCCAGACTTTCTAACTTACACAATTCTAATGGGTGTGTAGTGGTATTTCATTCTGGCTTTATTTTACATTTTCCTGGTGATTAATGAGGCTGAGCATCTTTTCATTAGCTCACTGGTAAATTGTACATGTAGTTTTGTGAAATATTAATTCAAATCTTTTGATAATTTTTATTGCATTATTTGCCTTCTTATTTGAGTTTTAGGAATTTTTAAAAAATGTTCAGGATACAAACTCTTTTGTCATATACACATATTGTAAATATTTTCCCCAGTTTTCCACTTCCTTTTCTTAACCATGTCTTTTAAAGGGTAGAATTTTCTAATTTTGATAAGTCCAATTTCTCATTTCTTCTTTTGTGATCTGTTCTTTTTGTGTCCTATCTAAAGAATCTTTATCTTCCCAAAGATTGTAAAGTTTCTATATTTTATTCTAGAAGTTTTATAATTTGAGCTTTTACATTTAAACTTATCATCCATTTTGAATTGATTTGTGTATGGTATAAGGTAAAAGGCAAGGTTCCTCTTTTTACTATAAGGATTTTCAGTTATTTCAGCACCATTTGTTAAAAAAAACCTATAGTTTCCCCATTGAATTACCTTGACCCTTTGTCAAAAATGAATTAGCATTATATGTATGGGTCTATTTCTTTATTTTCTATTCTGTTTCATTGATCTCTAGGTCTATGTTTATTCTACTACTCCATTACCTTTATTGTCACATCTTAAGTCTTAAAAATCATATAATGTAACCCTCCAGATTTGTGGAGGTTTTCTCAAAGTTATTTTGTCAACTGTAGTTCCTTTGCATTTTCATATAAATTTGGGAGTAAGTTTATCTATTTACACAAAGATACCTGCTGGAATTTTGATTTTGATTGCATTGGAGTTATAGATCAATTTAGAGAGAATTCATACTTGAACAGTATTGAATGCCCTGATCCAGGACCATGGTATCCATGGTATGTCTTTGCATTTATTTTGGTCTTTAGTTTCTTTCAGCAGTGTTTTGCAGTTTTTACTGTGCAGGTTTTCTACATGTTTTTAAAGTTTATTGCTAAGTATTTCAAGTTGTGGAACCTATCATAAATGATATATTTTTACATTTCGATTTTCAATTGTTCATTTCTAGCATATAGAAATACAATTGACTTTTGCATATTTAACTTGTAACTGCAACCTTCCTAAATTTAATGCTTAGTCCTATAGTAAGTTTATTATAGATCCCTTTGGATTTTCTAAATACATGATTATTTCACCTGTAAATAAAGACACACTTATTACCACTTAAACCAGAAATTTATGAAGAAGTTTTGTTTGCATGTTTTAGTTCTGAAAATCCAGCAAGGCTCTGTTGCAACACACTCATTGGTTCACCTCACAGAAGGGCCTCATGTGTCTTGGGGCCCCTCAAAAGGGGAGCCATTAGCTGCCCTGTCCTTTTCCAAGTTCTAAAAAAGCAGCTGCCTTTGGAGTCTATATTTATATAATGACTTAGCAGAAGAAACAGGTGGTTGAGATTTTTTTCCAACTTTAGTCCGGTTTTTCAAATAAAAACTTTTTTTCTTTAAAGAAGTATATTGATTTTGTTGTTGTTGTTGTTTAACAAAAGGAACAATGCAGAAGGGTATTAAGAATGAGAAAAATTCACTATCTCAGACTCTTTTCCTGACACATCTCTTCCATTCATTTTACCGAAGGGAAACGGAGAGCGTTCTTAGCAGAGATGACATCAGGCTGAAGGAAGTATATCCCCAGAACAGAGGAGAGGGAGAGGCAAGACCCCAGAGTAGTGGGAATGGCCGACAGCCCCCTGAGATGATACTGGTAAAAACAAACAAACAAACAAAAAAAAAAACCCGGTGGGCCTTGGAAGCAAAGAGCACCACACTTTTGAGAGTTGGATAAATGGGGCAGATGCTGTCTATACTTAAAATTTTGACATCTTGCTCATCATAAACATTCTTGCATTATTATTATTATTTTTAATTGCATTAAAATGTTATTTTTCTTGACTACTGGGTTTTTTTATACCCTCCTAAATTCCGCGCCAGAGTCGGAGGTGGGGGATGGGGAGAAAGACCTGGGAGCAAAGGACCTCCCCAGAGTAGTGGGAATGGCCGACAGCCCCCTGAGATGATACTGGTAAAAACAAACAAACAAACAAAAAAAAAAACCCGGTGGGCCTTGGAAGCAAAGAGCACCACACTTTTGAGAGTTGGATAAATGGGGCAGATGCTGTCTATACTTAAAATTTTGACATCTTGCTCATCATAAACATTCTTGCATTATTATTATTATTTTTAATTGCATTAAAATGTTATTTTTCTTGACTACTGGGTTTTTTTATACCCTTCTAAATTCCGCGCCAGAGTCGGAGGTGGGGGATGGGGAGAAAGACCTGGGAGCAAAGGACATCCCCAGAGTAGTGGGAATGGCCGACAGCCCCCTGAGATGATGCTGCCCTCCCCTGGCAAGCAGAGAAAGGCTCAGGAACACACAAAGACAAGAGGACGGCGAGGTCCAGGCTGGGGATGTTAAAACGGACTCGGGGTGAGGAAGGGGGCGGGCCCGACAAGCCCCGCCTGGTTCCGGGCGGCAGGAGGGGACACGGGACGGGGGCGGAGCGGCTGGCGGTGACGTAGGCCTCACGCCGACGGGCCTCCGCTGA